GATTGTGCAATACCGTCATTTGATTTCTTGACTGCTGCTTCCATGAGTTCTGATTGTGGACCCAAGGAAAATAAAGTTATGACAACATCTGCCTTTTCTCCATTTATCCATTTATTGTTCCAATTGTGGATATTTTTGTTTTCTTTACATTGAGGTCCTGGGATATTCATTATTCCCAATGTTATTCATAAGTTGTAATGGTCCACACAGTCGGAAACCTTTGCATAGTCAATAAAGTACATCTTTCTGATAAAAAAAAAAACTAAAAAAAAAAAAAACTAGAATGCAATGAAAATTCATTTTATTTTGATTTTTTTAAAATGGGAACAAAAGAAAAGTGATGATTATAAAATGTATAGGATGTTAGGAAATGACTCAGCCTCATCTCTGTCTTTCACGAGCACGCCTGCATGCATTAGTTTTCCCCATTTGCTTCCTTTTTCTTCCCTCTCTCTCAAATACCTATCTCACTGTGTAATCTATTAAAGGATGCCATATAAGAATGGTGATAAAACTTTTTAAATAATCACATTTAATAATTTTATCATATTTTACTAACTTGGATCTTTGTTTAGTTTTTAATTTTTTATTTAAATTCTTTTTGTCACCAGATTTAACAAGTAATTATGAAATTTAGATGACTTTTGGTTGACCTCCAAATGTGCATATTTCAAGTTTACTGATTACGTAATCTATGTAAACTAGAAAATTTATATTAAATCAAGAGTTTTATCAACATTAGATTTTGTCATTTTTCTCTTAACTGTACAAACTATTTTCATTCATGAAGTTGAGATAGTATAATATCAAAGAACAGCTCAATGTTTTCTACTAGTGAGCTATTTAGAAATAACAATAGAAGATTCTGATTTTGGAAACATGTTATTATCTTATTTTCAATAAATATCCTGTGTCATTGTTGTTGTTAAATGCTGTTGAGTTATTTCAGACTCCTAGTGACCTGTGTAGGATTTCCAAGGCTGTAACTATTTGCAGAGAGTCTTATCTTTGTCCTGAAATGTCCCATACCTTAGTGGTAATTTCTTTTTTGTTGTCGTTTCTTCAATTAGGATGCCCTTACTGTTTATAAGGAAGCAATTCAGAAGATGCCAAGACAGTTTGCCCCACAGAGCTTGTACAACATGATGGGTAAGTTAAGAATTGATATTTTAGTTATTATTTCAGAGATCTGTGGAGAAATTAAAACCCGTGCTTATATTAAGTGGAACTATTTTTAAAACGTTATCTATCATTTATTCTCACAGGAAATGTTATTTACAGTTGGGCCTCATATTTAAGTACTAGGAAAACACACCTGTTCTGACAAGAGCAATTACATCAACTTAGTGATTCCACAGGCGTTGACTAAGGCCTCCTGGTATACCCCAGAGTTGTGTCAAGGGGCTGACAAATCCATTTGTGTATCAAGCATTATCTAAATGCCAAATTTTCAAAAATAGTATCTTGCACATATGTATAAATTTCCAAGTATGTTTAGAATTGAAACAAAACAAAAGCAACACATTTATTTAAATGAATTTGTCAGATTCATGAAAGTTTTTGATGAGAAGGTGCTTAAAAGGAAAAATGCTCAGGTGTAGAGATTTATGATTATTTTTAGGGGGAGAATGGATTGGGCAGGTAGGAGTAATGAGTTAGAATTAGAACTAGGGCTTCTTTTAGTGTTAGGGTATGGTTAGGATTAGGGTTAGTGTTAGGGTAGGTGTTGGAATGGACTTGGGCTAGTAGTGTGGCTTCATCTAATGTTAAGTTTGCAGTTAGGTTTATTGTATTTTTTTTCTTGAAATCTACATGATTTCCACTCCATTTTTAAGTTCTTTAAGTACATTGTTCCTTCTTTATACGTTAAATTTTTGTTGTTGTAGTTGTAAACTTCTTAGACTCTGGTTCCCTATTTTCAGTCTTATAGATTTAATTTCCATATCTGGGTTGAGTTTTCGGTAATATTGTTATATATTACACAAAATATATGTTAGTCTCAGGTTGCTGTATGCTGTTAGCTCTCTATACAAAGAAATCCCTTTAATACTATATGTAAGATTGGTCTGGTTTTTGCAAATTCCTTTAATTCCTGTTTATCTGGCAATGTTCTAATTGTTTTATTTAATGAAAGGTTTTGCTGGGTATATTATTCTTGGTTGGCGTTTTTTTTTTCTTTCTTTCTGAGTTTTATATATGGCATCCCATTATCTTCCTTGTTTGCATGGTTTCTGTGAGCAATCATAGTTTAATCTTATTAATTCTTCTGTGCATGTAACTCTTCAGTTTTCCACGAGCTTCTCTCAGATCCGTTGCTTGCCTTTGATTTTGAAAAGTTTGACTATGCTTTGGTGATTGTCTTTTGGGATCTGTTTTGTTTAGAGTTGTTCTAATTTCTTGAATGGCTTTCTTCTTGTCTTTCATGATATTAGGGAAATTTTCTTCCAACAACTTTTGGACAGTTTTCTGTATGGTTTTATTGGTCTCTTCCTGTTCTGTGACTCCAATCACATGTAAGTTATTCATCTTGCTAGTATTCCACATAAATCTTAGGCTTTCTTTGGTGTTTATTATTTTTTTCTGATTATTCCTCTCAAAGATGAGTATTGTGATATTTGTCTTCAAGCTCTAATTCAGCCTCCCATGGATTCAATTTTAATTTGCCTTTCCAGTGTACTATCTATTTTCTAAAGCCTTAGTTATTTCTCTTCTTGCTTTTAAATTGTTTTTGAATGGTTTGCAATATTTCTTTTATTTTGTCAGATCATTCTTGTAGTGTTTTTTCTGAATTCTTCTTACATTTTTTTTTTTTTGGTATTTGCCTTACTTTCATCGATCTTTCTCTCAGTCTGTTGAAAGTACTTAAATGGCACTCTCTTAAATTCCTCATCAATTAATTTTGATACCAAATCTGGTATTATATTTTCGAGTTCAGTATTCATGTTACATGTTCGAAGTACTCTATCTTGTTTCTTCATGTAAACTTAAGTTGTCTTTTTCCCCTAGACATTGTATTTAATTGATGATTGTATTTTGGTGTGTTCTCAGGCACTCACGCCCTGTGTCCCGATTTACTGTTTGTGTAGTGTTATTCTGGGCAGGTTCACCAGCCTCCAGAAGCAGGGACACTATTCTGGGTATCAGACCACAGGCAGAGCTGAGTCTGTGCAAGAGGGGATGCCATTAGTTAGTTGCTCTATTAATAATGGTAGGGCTGACCACACCCCTTGGCTACCAGGAGGGCAAGGGAACAAAGGAGAACTGTACCACTGTTGCCTTCAGCCTCTAGCAGCATCCTGTACCTCCAGATGTCTGTATTGGCAGCCACTTGGAAAATCTGAAAGCTCTGGATGGCCATGCTACTCCATTCTAGCTGAAGGCCAGCCGCCTGCCTGTTTTTCTTGTCTCTCACCACTCCTGTTCAGCATCCTCTTCCAGTCAGTACATAGCCCGCCTCTCTGCCCTATCCTCTGAAGCCTAAGGCTCCAGGATCAACTTCTGTATCCGTTTCACTTGGTTTCCCATGTCTGTGTTACAGACGGTCTGCTCAGTGTGTCTGTCTACTCCATCATCTTGCTGTGGAAGTTCTCAAGATTCATGATTTTTGGTGCTTATAAAAAAATGAGACTAACTTAGCCAAGATATGCAGTCTTTATAGATCAAGCTATGGATCTTTAGATTTATTGAAGTGACTATTTTTAAAGAAAAATAATGCTATGAAAACTGTAAATGCACTACTACAACTCTGATAGCGTAGTGGTTACGAATTGGACTGCTAACCTCAAGGTCAGCAGTTCGAAACTACCAGCTGTTCCGTGGGAGAAAGATGAGGCTTTCTGCTCCTGTAAAGATTTATAGCCTCGGAAACCCTGTACAGGGTCGCTATGAGTCGGAACCGACTCCACAGCACGTAATCACCACCACCACTTTGAATGATTACCTTAATATTCTTATTACGAAATATATACATCTAGGGCATGAATTTTTCTAGGTACAAGACTTTGAAAACTAGATTTTCTAATAAAATCACTACTTGTCAATTGTGGTTGATCCATAAATTCCTTATAGTAAATTGTTACCTACAACTGTTTGATGGTGGGTCAAAATGAACATCACTTAGTGATCTTTTGACTACTGGGAACATTTCCTAAATTTAAGATGGCCTGATGTGATTGGTTATGTTGCTGTTTTAAGCTAAATGGGAGCAGTGAAGGGGCTGATCTTTTATCTTCACATCAGTGTTTCTTTGTCCCTAAAGCACCAACTACAAACACAGCTTTTACATTTTCTTAAACCTGGTTATGTTACTTAATATTTCTAGGATGTCCTCGTGCATTAATAAAATGAGATTAGGCTATGTGATCCTTTTTGATTATTTTATTCTTTTTGTATTCTGTCATTTGGGAAATTTGATAGTGGCTTTTTATGACTTAAAAGCACATAGGAAAAATCTCATATCCTCCCAAAATAGAAAATATGTGTCTACCAAAGACACATTTCCCCTTTTTTTTTTTCCTGCATGACTGAATATTTAGAAAGAGTTGATACATAAAATGAGGCAATCCATTTCATACCTTTGGGAGTCCTACCTGTCATTATCCTGTATGATCCTGGAGTGCTTTCATGTTCACATTGAAGAAGACACCAAGTTTTTTCATTTTTTTGTTTTTTTTATTAGTTGTTGTTTCTTTTTTATTTGGTCTAATATCTAAAACTTAAAACTAGTCTTGTTAAATATAACATTGCCCTTATTTAATTAAAACAATACCTTCTACTAGCCAGCATTTTATCATTCAGATAAATGTACAGGTTCATAAAGTGTGTGCCTAGAATATATAGATTTAGAAACTGAATTAGCTTTTCTTTTTTTAATATCAAAATAACTACTAAGAGAATCTCATTCTCTTGTTTTGCCTAAAGAGAAATAATGGTTTGGGATCTACATTTTATTCTTAACACTAAGCTAACGCTTGAGATGGCCTTATTCTCAATTATCCTCAATTGTCAAATAAGACATCTTTCTTTAAATTGGAAAAGAACCCTGAAATCCTTAACAACAGACTACACATAGCCTTTTCATTGTTAATGGGAATGATGGCGTTCACTATAGTTAATGATTTCAGAAAATTCATTCAATTATTTGAAGTAAATTAATTTGATGGAAAATGCAACTGGCACCTTGGGATCTCTCTCTTATATGGTTTTCCAGATGCAGAGCACACACAGGCAACAAAGCTAAGTGTGTCCTTGGGGCTTTGTGCTGAGTCCAGTGTCTTATTTTGCATTATAGAAGGAGGCAGTTGCTATGCCCAGATTCTGAAAAGCACTCTTAACAGTTTGAGAGGAAGGATCCTAATATAATTTAAAATTTACCATCTCTCCATAAATATGGTGGCTGACTTTTTATGTCAGGTGACTAGGTTTTATATTTTCATTTGTTCATGAAACTAATTTTCTCAGAAAGTGAATGCACCTCCAATCAAATGGGTGAAATCCCCTGAGTTTTGCTTTTAACTCCTAATACATTTTGATTAGCCTCCATTTGACAAGGAAAAAAATGGCCCAGGAGATCAGCTGCCCGATCAGTTCATCAGTTTCATTAGACTGTCAGCATGTGCTGCTTATCCTATCAAGTTTATCAACAGTCTTGAATGTGTTTTCTGATTTGTACATTTACATTTTATTAGTGCCCTTTAGGGATCAGTGATGGATTGTAATGTCTGGCTAGATTTAGCCTGTAAGTGTTCATTTTTCTCATGTCTCTCATTCATTTACCCCTTCACAACCGCTCCCCCCACCACCATCCAGTTGTGTTTATATATCCCAAAAATCTTTGTTTTTTTCTCTTGTTCTCTTTTCCTTTGATTTAGAGGTTATGAAAAATAAATATGTAGGAAAAATATACTTTGTATATGATCATTAGTTTAATAGCTAAGATCACTGCAATTGGTATAACAAAAAACCAACTACAAAAACATTGTGGTTCTTTGCATTTTCATTTTTCTTCAATTATTGAATGTTTTATGAAAAATATATTATATTCCCATTTGCTCTAATACCGGTTGATTTATCAAGGTCACCAAATAATCATAAATTTATTATTTGTATACTTTGATTAATTTATAATTTTTATTAATTTAATTGACACT